TGATGTATGGTTTGTTAGGAGAGGATAATATTTGGCCGAGATACAACGATTTGAAAATCTAGAATCTGAGGGTGCAAAAAAAAAAAAAAAAAATTTGAGAAAATCGCCTTTAAAGTTGGCCAAATGAAGTCCTTAGCAATTCATATTACTAATCAAAAATGAAATTTACAAAATATGTTCATGAAACAGGATCTTTATTTAATATCCTAATGATTTTTGGCTTAAAATAAAAAATGATAATTCTGACCCATACAATGTATTTTTGGCTATAGATACAAATATAGCAGAGCAACTTAAGACTGGGTTTGTGTTCCAGGGTCTAAAACTAACTTACTTACATGTAAACTGACCAACCAGCGATAAAAAGTTACAGCAGCTGCTTCAGGTAGCCTATCCGTAATTTACTGTATAACTTATCGCTATAATACCGATCTTGCTCATTTTATACTGAGGCTTCTCACTGTGAAGCAATAGATATTTAATCAATTATATGCAGTCTTCCTATAGGACACACATGCATTTAGAGCGATTATATGAACGGTTTGGTTAGCATGGTCTGTGGCAGACTTCGTGCCAGCTCAAAAATTGTTAATATTAAGTGGCTTAAATTGTAAAGACAATATTGTCTTTTTTTGCTTTATTTTGCTAAAGAAAAAAGGCATGTTGTTTGTCTCAGTGGCAACACACAGAATTGTGAATTTGCGTTTTGAACAGATTCATTCATAAAAATAGCTTTTTTTCTTCGTTCCTGAATGAATCAGTCGTTTTGAAAGATAACAAATCAATCGGGGTCTAAAGCGGTTCCATAAACGACAATTTAAGTTCACGCAATCTCGCTAATTGATCAAGGTTCAGTGAGTCAAGATAAGTTGATGTGCACGCTTATTCTTAAGCAGCCCTTAATGTCGATCATGGATCAAATCGATCCACCATGACAAACAGTGAATATATTTATGCTGTTTTATGCATTTGAGACGTTGTGTTTTCCCCAGTGCATAACTGACACGTCACATAATTTTACACCTACATAATTTTTATGATAGCAGCAACTGTAAATCAAATGTAAGCTAGCTAATACAGCCCTAATTGCTAATTCAAATGAGTTCATGTATAGGCCTATTCCTCTTACTTTTCCTCTTACTTTTCTGTTTTTAATTTAGTGATTTTAACTTTTAATTTAGTGTTTTGAATGCTTCAAAAAACTATTTTAGATTGTGATGTTTTAATGTTCTACTAAAAACCATACAAGGTACAGCTGTCATAAAACCTGAGAGAAAGGCTGCATGGCTAGAAACTGCTGATCAACTGAATGCACAAGTAGCAACTATCTTAAAATGTGTTTAATATATATATATATATATAACAATGTCATTAAATCTTGAGCACAATACATTAAACTCAGTTGGTTGTAGCCTATATTTTTATTAATTTGATTTATTATTTACGTTGCATTTTCCATATACTTTTATCTTTGGGCTGATAATAAAGTCAAATAATTGTATGTGAGAGAGTCAGTGGTAATATCATTGCGTTCCTATTGGTCCGTGTTAGAGGAGCTCAGCTTAGCCGGACCAGGTTAGTTTTCCAGCATAAGTCGCCACAGTGACTGAGCTTGAGCTATGGTAAATTTGCTTTCTGAAATCAAATCAACTGACAATAAGTCAGACTAACTGAAATAAGCCTGGCTTTTTGGTAAACTTGTTTTATGAAACAGGCCCTAGGACTAAATCATTTGTCTTGGAGATGCTTAACTGCAGCCATAAGGAGGTGCTGTAGACCTACTTCAGATTAGCATTAGCCTGTTGTCATGTGAGAGCATTCTGTCCAATTGTTTGGTACTTAAATGTGTCTTTTGTATAAGGTGATTTTCTCAATGGTCTTTGCAAATTTTTAATTGTTAAATTAAATGTTAATAATCAAAGCATGTCTAATTAAATAAAATCGTGAATATTATATGATTAATTAAATGTTTACAAACTATACAATTTACAAAATAGTGAAAATGTTACAATTTATTAAAAGTTTAACAAAAGATACATTTTAGGGCCTTATGAAATCTGTTTTGTTGTTTCCCCGAATTTTTTTTACCAAAACCTGTGTTTTGCATTTTAACTTGTATAATGAGATGCTGAAAACACCAGTGAACTCACGTGTGTTTGAGTTTGTGTAGTAAATGAAACCGTGTCATTCATTCACTCATTTCGTATTAACAGACAAAATGAATGAATAGCGTGATTTGATCCATTTGTACAGCCCTGCGTTTGATTTATTTATCCCAAATTTCACAAATTCCATGACATTTCATTCGTGTTACATTCAGTTCCTTTTTTATGACAGAATTGTACTTTGCAAAATCAGATGCTCCAATTCAGGTTTTATAGGAATTTTATGTGATCTTACTCTCACCTTTTCCAGGATGATTTCTCTCATTGTCTGGTCAGTCAGATCAGCTTTGGAGTTCAACATCATCTTTACAATTGATATTTTTAAAACAGGACCTAATCAAACAAGCATTATCAAACATCCATATAAATACATAAAAACACAAATAGTTTGGACCCCAGACAAAGACACATTATTAGTTGGGTTTGAGTTCATTAAAGTATATTAGTGCTGCCATAGCAATATGAAAATATAATTATTAGTTATATAATCTAATATGTGACCTTAGACCCCAAAACTGGTCTTTATATTTGTAGCAATAGCCAACAATACACTGTATGGGTCAAAATTATCAATTTTTTTATGCCAAAAAACATTAGGTAAAGATCATATTCCATGAAGATATTTTGTAAATTTCCTACCATAAATATATCAAAACTTAATTTTTGATTAGTAATATGCATTGCTAAGAACTTCATTTGGACAACTTTAAAGATGATTTTCTCAATATTTAGATTTTTTTTGCACCCTCAGATTCCAGATTTTCATATAGTTGTATCTCGCCCAAATATTGTCCGATCCTAACACACCATACATCAATGGAAAGCTTATTTATTCAGCTTTCAGATTTTAAATTGTCCCTTACGACTGGTTTTGTGTTCCAGGGTCACATTAAAACTAATAATTTTTGTCATTACAATCGATGGCTACAGATATACCTTTTCCAAAAACCTCCACCTCACACAGAGTGAGTATCTTCATGTCTCCAGGAATGATCAGATTCACGTAACGTCCCTCCATCCCAGCGCATGAGTAGCCGTAAGAGCCTCCTGGAATAGCAGGAATAACAGCACATCTACAGGCAGAGAGAAACAGGTGAGGTATATAAAAATGCTGTCATATCTGCATCAATCCTTCACATTTGTGCAGGATCTCTCATGATCTTCCAGCCACAAGTTTCTCACATGGGATTGTTGTTGCCATTGTTCTTCAAAGAGTTCCCAATGCGAATCTCCGCTCCATTTATTCGTTCTACACAACAGTCGTTTCTGTTGGTGACCACCACTCTACTAACACTGTACACAGATCCAGCATCCACCATGGGTAATTAAAACTCTTATAAACTCCTTGATTTCACTTAAGCAACTTTAAATATAATATGCATGCACAAACTATAGTAAAATGTATTTACATCACTTGACAGAAAGGTTTTTGCAGGTTTTAATAAAATGTAAATTAATAACAGTCATAATAAGCATATTTCCAGTCCGTTCCTCAGGCTTGCACAGTATCGTCAACTCACTCATCAGAATCTTCGGTAATCCTCTGCAAACTTTGGCAGTTGGTTGAACCGGCTCATTCGGTTCTTTTTGAGTTGAATGTGCCACTTCGGCTGTGCGTTCTGCGTCATCAACCCGGAACTAAAGTTCGATTCAGTTCGATTTGTGAACGGGCTCAACTGGTTAATTCCTGAGAACCGGCTCAAAAGAAAGTTTCTCTCTGTTAACTTTCATTTTAGACATAACCAACTGTGTTTATATGTAAACATTGTGTGTTTTGACAGTATTAGACGCAAAATCAATCAGACGCGAGAGACAACTTAATCTAGTAATCAGGCAGGCACAGTTTTAGTGTGCGGTGTGTGCGCGCTTCATGTGTTCGTGCTCAGAAAAAAACGCATGCTAGAACAGCACATTAATTAAATGTTAAACCGCCAAGGCTTTAATGCATATGTAAATAATGTACTTTTGTGATTGCACATAAGTGCAGTGTCCCACGAGTGTAACTCTACCGCTGAGTTAAAGGGGTCATATGATGCCATTAAAATTTTTCCTTTCTCTTTGGGGTGTTACAAGCTCTTGGTGCATAAAGAAGATGTGTAAAGTTGCAAAGACTAAAGTCTCAAATCCAAAGAGATATTCTTTATAAAAGTTCAGAGTCAGCCACACCTACCTAAAACGGCTCGTTCTAACACGCCCCAACATGTCTACATCACTATGTGGGAAGATTTGCATAATGCTGCCCGAATGTTCATGCAAAGAAAGAAGGCGTAACTTTTATTCTCGCTGTAGTATTGTTGCTGCCGCCGCCATGTCGTGAAGACGCTGTGTGTTTCATTGTGAAAGCGAAACTACTTTGTTTGGTCTTCCAAAAGAGGACGATATCCGCTTCGTCATGCCTGGAGCTGATCCGTGCTGGTCGCTGAGGAAATACTTCAACTTCGCGCTGTGGATCGCCGGATCGGCTTTCACCGTGGATGAAGTGGAGTCCAGCCCATACATGATGTTTACAATTGAAGCCAGTTTAGTCACAGAAATTAGGACTTTTTATCTTGCAATCACAACTTTTTCTCACTTGACTTTTTTTAAAATATGAATTCTGAGTTTATATCTCACAATTCTTACTGTGTATGTCACATTGTACAGTATATTGAGACGAAGGTGCCAGAACTGTATTGCACGTGTGCTACAGTGGTACATTTATTCATATATGTCGCACTGTACAGCCCTGACATTGCTTTATAACAGGTTTAGAGAAAGCTAGAGAAGACAACAACACAAACCTTTCAAATAGTAACAATGGTTTTACTTTGAATAAAACTATTCAAACACACGAGTGACACACAGAGAGAGATCAGGGGGAAAGAGAGATTGAAAAGGAAAATGGAAGTAAAGGTGCAGTTCAAAAGATAACCTTTAATTACATTGCATGGCCCCAGCCTATATGAATTTAAACCTTTTTTATGTGATAGTGATGGCCATACAAAAAATAGGGTTGTCCATGTTTTCAACATTTCTTGTGGGTGCATGGGATGGTCTAAATGAGTGTGAGATTTCCATGCCTGAAATTTTGTCCCAGTCCGGCCCTGTCTATAGCAGTGACTTACCTATCAACTGCCCGTTGACATCAAGTTCACAAATACTAAGGCTCCTTTGATCTCCAGGAATGTGAAGAATCACGTAACGTCCCACCATTCCACATGAGTAGGTTTCTGTGACTCCAGAAGGAATAGTAGGAATTTCAGCACATCTACAGTACATACAGAAAGGTCACATTATACATTTCTGTCCACTGTCAATTGTAGAGAAAGATAAAAAGTCAAAGAAAACCTTACACTGGGTTTCTGTAAATGTCGTCATGGAAGTTCCCGACGAGAAGGACCGCCCCGTTTATCCTCTGATAAGTGGCGAGGTCATCTCTATTAGTGATGGCCACTTTTTTAACTTGGTATTCATTCAGCAGATCCACTTTATGCCACGGGTTGGTCTCTTCTGCGGTTTGGGTACAGGTGTGGTGTAAACTATCAACAGCATATCTAGCATTCCAGACTCCGTACTGTGATGAAGCGCTCAAGGTGCACCATAGCGCTACGTTCTCTGGGAAATGTTTCATGGATCGAGGTCAGTAAAATGCAATATTCACCTTTTACTGGCTGGCAGAGTTTAAAAAATACTTTGTTATAATTACAAATTGTTTTTTTTAATTTGTCCATGCTTAGCATGAGAATCTGACTCTTTAACAGTGTAAACAACTCTGAATGCATGAAACAGCATTGTACACCCCCCCCCCCCCCCCCCCCACCACATCTAGCAGCACACGACGCACAAAA